AAGAAAGAGCTCAGAAGTTCAAAGTGGTGGCCTCTGGGGAATGCAACCTGCTGGGGAGGAGTAGAGAGAGGAAGGCCGCTTCTCATTAGAAGCCTTACAGCAACAGCTAAATATTTTAAAACATGAGTATGCACACCTTTATCCAAAATTAGACATTTTATATGATTTCTTTTGGTAGCGGGGCAAAATGAAACATTTTAAATAATTCAAATTATTTATATCACTTTGCAACCTTGTGTTGACATTTCTTCACTTTTAAGCATACTGGGACCCTCAAAAATCAAGGGTGCCCTGCTCCTCTCAACCTCTGAGCTGTGGTTTGGAGGTGCATGGGGTCTCCTTGTGGTTCCTCCACACCAGCTCGCTACAGATAAAAGGGAGCACTATGTACTCTGCCTGTCCTGGGGTGGGCTGATCTAGGTGGAGTCCTGAGCACTGGGGTGGGGATGGTAAAGTTGGCTGGACACATCAGCAGGTGGCCTTCCCGTGGAGTTGTAGCTGAGTCTGGAAGGCCACCTCTGACCCTGTCCCAGGTGCTGCTGCTGTTCCTGCTAATAAGGCCCCAGGGAGCTGGCAGGGTACCCTGCCCTGCCCCAGGGGCCTAGATGCTGCACACCCTCCCATCGGGTGCCTCAGCTCCAGGCCCAGAGAGACACTGGCACTGCCCGCCAGGTGGAGTGGACTTCCCCAGTCCCACTCCTCAGGAGTGCTCCTGGCAGCTTACCCAAGGGCCCCACTGATTCCAGGACAAATGTGGACCCCCATACTCCCAGCCAGGACCCAAAGCAGCTCTTCCCTCCTACCCAGAGCAGGGCTTGCAGCACACATGGCACTGTGCCCTGGATCCAAGTGGAAGAATTCATTAATCTCCTCAGCAAAGGCCTATGGCTGTTTAATTGCTGGAATGAAAAGGTTTCCCATGAAACCCAACACCTAGCCATCTCCGCCAAGAGAATGGAGACTCTTCACCCTAGCAGGCCTCAGCTGGAGTCAAAGCTAGAGTCTTTGGCATTTAGGGGCTGGGACTCCTTGGCAGTGGATGTCCCTGCATGCACTCAGGAGCACACATGTGTGCATACACAGACATGCATGCCAAGGGCCGGGGATTTAGCTCAGTGGTTCAGCTGCCTGCCTTGAAAGTGCAAGGTCCCAAGTTTGATCCCCAGCCCCAAAAAGAAAATAAAGAAAAGAAAATATAAGCAGCAAGACATACATGCCAGGGTGCACAGGTACTATAAGGAAACACTCCTACATACTTCCAACTCCACACACATGGTACTGTGCATCCCTATCCATGCAAGCACATGCTTGCCCAGCTGCCCTCTGGCTTGCAAGAGTCTTCATGTGTAACACATGTTCCCTGCCAGTATATTTGCACTAAACACCCCTTACACCCACATGCTCCAGGAGGGCATTTTACAAACTCCTTTAACACTGGCAGAATCCTTTTGTCAAGTGAAATCTTAAAGGCACACGCAAATGTATAGAGTAAGCCTGGGTGCTGGAGGGAAAGGCGCAGGGCCCAGAGCATGCTCCGGGCTTGCCTGCTTGGCCACCAGCTCCTTCTGCTAGCCCCTCTCTTCCCAGCCCCAGGGAAGACAGCTGCAGTCTAGTTTTATCATAGATTCTGAGCTGTGCTACCAGACATGGGGTATACGGTCAGGTATGTCTGAGCTCTCTTAAGGGAGCGAGGCAGGGTGCTTCCTCTGCTCCTCAGGGCTGTGGGTGGCGGGGGCCAGCGCTGCTGACTCTCTTCACCCCTTCCGTCTCTGTGCAGCCCCACCCTCTCATCCCAGGGCACATTGATTTTTGGTTTCTGGGGTTTGTGGCTCCCTCTCCTGAGCTTCCTAGCTTACCAACTGTGGTGATGCCCACCCCCAGGACTGCCCACTTTAGGGAGCAGGAGGGGTCACAGTGCTCCCCGAGGTCCTGAACACAACCAATACCATTAGTAGGACAGTGTGTGAGCATCTAGGGCTGCCCCACAACCCTATCTCAGCTGCCTCTACATCAGAAGGATGAAAGGGAAACCAGGAAAGGAGGCCCACGGCCGAGGCAGACCCAAGAAGAAGAAAAATATTTTCCTGAGACCACAGTTGGACCCCCTTCAGGTCTCTGTTGCCAGGAGAAGAATCCAGCTTCCTGGTCCTCCCTGCACATGTGCCCTCCCACAGGGAGCTGTGCAGCCTGTCGCCTGTTCCTCACCCCCAGGGAACACCAGGGCTCGTGACTCCAGAACCAGGACTGAGCCCAGCTGGCTATGCCAATCTCAGAGCTGTGCCAGGCAAGGAGGAATTGGCCCATCCACTGGCTAAAACTGGCTGTCCCCCTTAACCTAGCAGAGCACTGAGCAATCATAGTACCACGAGGTGCCAGCCAGGCCCCTTCCCTTCACACCAACTCCTCCTACCCATCCACCACTCAACCACTCCCAGAGCATCCAGGGGCTGAGCCATTCCTGTGAACCTGCTCTGCAGGCTGCCATGCCATCCCCCTCTGTGGCCAGCCAGCACTGCCAAGCTTGCCCCTGGGAGGCCTCTGCAGGGCTTTCTTGGAGTGAAACAGAGGAAGCTATGCCAAGCAAAGACCAAACCCAGGGCAACCCAGCTGCCAAGTGCTTGAGGAAAGCCTGGCTATGGTCTGTGGTGGCTGCTGCCAGGAGGACCAGAGGTCAGGGACCCCCAACAAGGATGCCAGGGGCCTACAGGAGTTTCCTCATGAACTTTGGAGGCTTACCTCCAGACCTTTCCCCTGCAGGAAACAGCCAGGTGCCCGAGGGTAAGCAGTGCACATTTGAATGCAAGCATAACTCTGAAGATAGGGTACAGCCAGGGGCTCCTGGACCCAGGCTAATTGGCATAGCCCTTTCAGCACCCGTGAGGGAAGGAAAGGACTGGCTTGGTCCCTATGTGGTTGAATTATGGTTAACCCCAATCAGTGCCCTATATTCCCCAGGCCTGGATCAAAGGCAGGACAGGTGTCCATTTCCAGGAGACATGAACTCACCAGGGCAGACACAGGGTGAACCTGGCACCTGGTCTCTGTGACAGCCTGAGGGAGGGAAGAGGGATACTTGCAGAGGCAAGCCACCTCTGCCTGTAGCAGCTCTGCTCCCCAGCCCAGCCAACCCAGCAAGATGGCTGCTGACTTCAGGACTGTAAACAGAGAGGCCTTGGTCCTTCCATCCAGGGCATATTCTGTCTCTCTAGTCTGCAGGAAAAGGACCACCCACACCCCTCATGCAAGGGAGTGGGACTGAGATAGTCTAGAGTTCAGTCTCTAGCCTCCTGTTCAACAATCCTTGGACCTTCAGGAAGTTCCTCTCAGATCACTTTTAAATCCTTCCAGTTGCAATCTTTGTCAGAAGCTTGTCTTCTTTTGCCCTAAGGGGAGGAAAGTAGAGAAGAGCTAGAGGAGACTCTCTCTTCTCTCTCTCTCTCTCTCTCTCTCTCTCTCTCTCTCTCTCTCTCTCTCTCTGTCTGTCTCTGAATCGAACCCAGGGTCTTGACAATGAGCTACATCCCCAGCCCTTTTTATGTTTTATTTTGAAAGAGGCTCTTAGTTGCTAAGTTCCCTGCACTAGGCTCGAATTTGCAACCCTTCTGCCTCAGCCTCCTGGAGTGCTGGAATTATAGGCATATGCCACCACTTCCAGCTACCCAAGCCTCCTTGAGGGCAGGTGCTGGTGCCTTGTTTGTACTTTGTTCTTCCAGGCCTCTCATGGCTGCATAACACTTCTACATTAATAGATAAACCACCTGGGCTGAGAGAAATTTGGAGAGTACTTGTGTAAGCAGAGGTAGAAAGAAGTGGACACCCAGACCACCCCAGAGGTTTGTGGGCCCAGGTCACCCTATTTACTGGGAATGCTACACAGAGCTGGATGCCATGCTGACCTGAGGGCTCAGTGGTGAACTTAAGAAAATACAGCCTGACCCTCCTGTGGCTTGGAAATTAAATTGGACCCCTGACACTGAACTTCCATGACTCATGAAGTAGCCTTCATGTGAGGTATCTGCACAGGGGAAACCCCTGAGCAAGCCACTCCCAGCCCACCACCCCAGTGTCTGAGATGTAGATCAAGGCTGGAAGTCTCCATCTGAGGCAATCCAGTGCAGGCTGGACCCAGCTCTGGCCACTGCTCCCCACGGAGGATTGAGGGGTCTTAGAACCACCACCGTTTACCAGTGACCTGGGTGCCAAAGGCAGAATTGAGGATTATCTGTGACCTGTCCCTGTCTTTGTCCTAAAGAACGGTGGGGAGGTCCCCTCCTTCCCCTCTCTTCTTGGAGCCCAAAGCTGGCTGACCCACGCGTCCTCGCTGACTGGCAGGAACCGGGGAGCCCATTCTCTCCAGTCTTTCCTGTGGCTTCCTCAGCGCCGAGGAGCCAGGCCCCAGCACCAGAGGGCAGGAGAGCGCCTTTCAGCACCTGGACAAGGCCCTTCCAGGCCTCCCTGAGGGTCTCTCTACGTTCCCATTCCTGACCCCAGGCTGGGCTCCCAGGGATCCAGAGACTCGGTCTAGTCTGAAAGAACCAAGAAAGTGCTCACCAGGAAGGAAGAGGGCACTGGATGGGGCTGGGATGCCTGGCAGTGTCACACAGCCGGCTCCCTAATCCCGACCTGTGGCCCCCACCCCACTCAGACTTTCCCACCTCCGCACACTCATTCGGAGGTGTTGCGGCTCGACAGAGTGAGGCGGACTCTCCCACCACATGGAACACGGACCGAGCCGGCGCCCCTCCTCACAGTCCTCACTGCTCGACAGAGGAGGGGAGGGGCACGGCGTCCCCCACCCCAGCCTGCGAGGACCGCACGTCTGCCAGGCAGGCCGCTCCCATCAACCTCTGCCGGTCCCTAAGCACAAAAGCCGCGGCTCCAAACAAAGAAGCTCTGCAAACTCGCCAGGAAGGCGGGACAGCTGGCGCCGTGCCCCCTCCCCACGCTGCACGGGCGTGCCGGGTAGTGGGGTCCCCGCCGCGCCCCGACAGCCCTCCTACCTGGCCGACGCGGATCTCCTTCTCCAGCTCGCGGTGGCGGTTGTGCCACACGAGGTAGTGCAGTGGGTACTTCCCCTCTGGGCCCTTCCTGGCGGAGGCGTTGGCAGGGATCATCGCCCGCTCCTCATGCCGGGGCCGCGGCGCCCGGCCCTGGAGGAGGGACGGCGCCGGAGCCGGGGCCCGGGGCCGCGGGGCGGGCGGCCGGCGCTGCCTGCTCGCAGGGCTGCGGCTCTGGCATGTGCTCTCGGCGGGGGCGGCGGGTGGGGACGGCGCGCCCCGCACCGTGCGGGCGGCGGGAGTCCTCGCGAGGCGGCGGCGGCGGGCGGCGCGGAGAGGCCCCCGCCCGCCCGGGGAGGGAGCGGGCGCTCGCCGAGCGGATTCGCGCCTCTCCTCCCACACCCCCGCACACAAAGACGCCGCTCGGCGGAGGGAACAGGCGCCTGCTGCGGACGCGGGGGCGCACGGGGCGCGGGTCCCGACGACACCGCCGCAGAGGACGCGCCCCCGCAGCCCCGGTTCCTCGCAGCCGCATAGCCCGGCCCTCAGCCGGAGTAGCCGGCGAGGGATGCAGGAATGCGGGGATGCGCGGGGAGGGTGCGGTGGGAAGGGGAGGAGGGAAACCGGGTGACCCGGGCAAGGCTTGCAATACCTCGCCCCACGGCATCATGGGGCTTGTAGTCCGCCTTGTAGAACCGGGGGTGCCAGGTGACTGGAGAGGGTCTCGCAGCGTGTTCGCCTGCTTCCCTGAGAGAATGGGCAGTCAGTCAGGCCTGACTAAAACCGAGACAGTGCCCTGACGCCATATGGGCTGGGGCTCACCCCCACCCCCTGGCATTTTGCCCTTTGCTGGGGAGGGAGGGGGCTCCAGGCCTGGATGGGGGAGGTGTTGGCCTTCAGAATTGAGTTTAGGTTCCTGGGCCCACGAGGAAGGTTAGGAATTCCCAGAAGAGAGTGAGTGATGAGAATCCCTGAGAAAGATGCAGGGCATCAGTAACAAGAGTCACTGGAGCAACCAGGGGTCTGCACCTAAAATAGTTTTAGAGTCTTTCTTGGCCTCTTAGAAATAAACTCCATCTTCCACACATGATGTTGGAAAGAGGATGTCCAGTAAGGTGGGGAGAACAGCCCCTTCTCCTATACCCCTATACACTGTGCTCAGTAAGAACCAGAGTGAGGATGGCAGAGAAAGCACCAGGTGTCAACTCCCTACTTTCACCTCTTGTGGTATCTCAGAAAGGAAAGTGATTCAGACAGCCTTCTTCCTGCTTCTTCCTGCATGACCCAGAGCACAGAAGTTCTTCCAGAATGGCCCCCGCTGAGGATGGAATTGGCCTCTGGGGTGGCCAGTTGCAAGGGCTGGAAGGACTGAGAGGCTTGGCCTATTCCTTAGAAAGGAGAGACCTTGATGTCAGAGATACCTGAGTTCAAAAACCTCCCACGTGGGGCCGGGGATTTAGCTCAGTGGTTTCGCCCAGGCGCAAGAACCCGAGTTCGATCCCCAGTACCAAAAACAACAACAACAACAACAAACCTCCCTACAAACTCCCTGACCTTAAGAGAATTGCTTTCTGAGTTTCTCAGTCCAGCCACCCCTGGACTGGATACCACCTCAAGGGGTCAGCTAAGGATAGTAATTGCTCTGGACTGAGACAGGTGGTAGAACCAGACACAGTGCCTTCCTGAGTCCCCCTTAAAACAAGACAAGAAGAAGGGATTCCACACCAGCCCTAGTTAGAACAACAATCCAAGAAGTGTTTGTGTGGGAGGTGCCAGAAAAAGCCTGCGCGCGCGCGCACACACACACACACACACACACACACACACACACACACCCCGTGCACTCCTCTCTCAGGTTTCTTTGTGTTGGCTCCCCTGCCTCCTTCACACCCTGCCATGCCAGGCCAGGGCGAGAAAGGATGAGGGAGGAGTGGACTGCCTCACCTCTTTCTCCAGCCTGGGAGAATCCGGCTGCCCATGTCCACCACGAGAGGTCAGCAGAGTGCCGTGGCTGCTGCCAGAGTTGGGGAGGGGGCTAGAAGAGGGGAGGGACGTCTAGGAGTTGCCAGCTGAAAGCCTGTACATTTCCTCATTAAATTGTTTTTAGAACCTTGTGTGTGATTCTGCTTTAGTTGTTCTGCTTCCTAGGGTGGTGACATCTCCACTGGGAAATACAGAAATCCTTCTATCAAGCCCAGAAGCTTGGCTGTGACGAAACTAGGGGTTGGGGAACAAAATTTGGACAGTGTGTCCGTGCCAGGGCCACTCCCAGGTAGTCCCGCGGCCCACCAGTAGGTGGGGGATGGGGTGGGGAGCGGGGTGAATCATCCTTCCTCTGTACAACCCAGGAGCCCAAGGAGCGGGGAGCTCAGCTAGATCGAGGGGAGCTGTCCTCTGGGCAACTGTGTTCTCTTTGCCAGACAGCCATAGATTGTAAGCCCAGGTTGCTTTCCTTCTGGTCTAAGCGCTGCGGCTGCCACGTGCTTGAGACGCGCCCACACAGCGGAGAAACAAAGACAGCCAAGCGGCAGGGCTACCAGCAGCCGCCTCGACATTTAATAAATGAAATTCCAAAGCTGGGGGTCGATAGGGGGTGAATCGGCAGCCGGCAGCCACCGCTGCTGGGCTGTAAGCCGGGTATAGGTTACCAGGCCACTCCTCCTTCCTCGGGGCTGGGGCCACCAAGCCCTCGGACCCCTTAGTGCAAGTGCAAGACGGGGGCGGCAAGTGGTGCTTCTCCACCCCCCCCAACACACCCCCGAGGGAGCTTTACTTGTAGAAGCCCCGCCAGCTGAGCGGCGGGCTGTGGAGGAGGGAAGGCCTGCAAAATTTTTTTTAAAGGTGCGATTATAAATATATCCCGTGGATCGCGATTTCAAACAAACTTGTCAATCTAGGCTGCAGGGGAGGGCGATGGAGGCAGCCTTGCGTATATTTCGGGTGGTGTGACTCATGAACATTACTTGTCTCCCCTAGGGAAAAAGCCTGCCCACCCACAAGTCACTGCTGCTCAGGCACTACTGGGATAAATCGACCATTCCGTTTCCATTGCCCTGTTACCAAGAAGGAGTCCCTGATGCCTGGGGAACCCTTCATTATGTCACCATTGAACTGGCCCTCAGGCCTGGTCCGGGGCACCTCTGCCCTCCCCACAAGCAAAGTACACTGGCCCTTTGCTGCTGCAAGGATGGCGGCTGGGTCCACACGGGGCACACATGTATGGGGGAGCATGGTCAGTGCAGGGGTGCACCCACGTGGGGCCTTTCCACTCACCCCCCACCGTGTTCCTCTCCTTTCTCCCACTGTGAAGTCCAGGAAGAAAGGCCCTCACTAGAAACGACCCCTGTGTACTGTGTGCACACGCTCTGTACACAGATCCCTCGGGTGCCCCAGAAACACGGTGCATGTATACAAGCAGGTGACAAGTGTCTATTAGTGCAAATAGTCATTAGTCATCCCTCAAGAGGTCTTAACACCATCCAGATTCTTTCCTCTCTGGATTTAGACAAGGACCGAGGCACAGATGTATTTTCAGTCCGGAGGCAGAGGGAAACACTGCATGACCTCTCTAACATCTGGGCGTCCATATTGTTGGTGATCTGCATGCTTAGTAAGGGTGTGACCACATCTCACCTGGACACAGCTATGGACACAGATATGGACACGTGGGTAACCAGGAGGCACACTTCACCCAAGTCACAGATAGGCAGAGCTTCTTTGCTAAGGAGGGTGCTTGGGCCTCCAGCTCCTTCTCCTCTTCCCTAACTCCCAAACAACCGGGCTCACCATCCCTGGCTGAGGGCCTCCCGGGTTTCCCCCCAGATCGAAAGTGAAAGGGACAGGACTGTGAGGGTGAATCACACTGGTGAGGGGAGCCCCTAAACTGAGGACAGGGCCGCAGGCACAACTGCCCCTCGGCCAGGCAGAGGCCGCTGTCCCTTTAAGCGCCCCCGCCCCCTCCCGCCCGCGCTCCCGGCTTCCTTTCTCCGGGAGGCGCGGCCCGCAGCGCCGGCGGCGGGGCGGGGGTGAGGGCGGCCCCTCCCCTGGTGGGCAGGGCCTGCGCCGCTTCCTGCAGGAGCGGCTGGGAGCCGCGCAGGGGGCGGGGAGAGGGAGCGGAGCGCGGCGGCGGGGCGGCGCGGGGTGGCGCGGGGCGGAGGGTGCTCCAGGGCGAGCGGGCAGGCGGGCACGGCGGGGTCCGGGCCAGCCTCGGGGGCGGACGGTTGGCCGGGCGCGCAGCCCAGCCGGAGCCTTGCCGGAGCCGGGCCGGGCAGCAGGGCCACCGCCGCCCGGGCCCGCCGCCCGCGCCCCCCACGCTGGCCCAGAGGGCTGCGGCCGCGTCGCCGCTGAGGATGTCCCGGAAGGGGCCGCGAGCGGAGGTGTGTGCGGACTGCAGCGCCCCGGGTAAGCGCCGCGGCGCGCCGGGCCCGGCCGGGGGCGGGACCGCGCTCCC